ACAGACACGGATATATATATACAGATTGAACAACAGATTTTCTTTGTTCAATCTGTATATATATATCCGTGTCTGTGTAAATTACTTGTACCTGATGATGACAAAACCTTGTCGAAACGTTGTACATTTGCTGTCATGTTAAACTTATATTAAAGTTTTTCTTCATTACCCATTTAAGCCGTCTCCAGCCATTATTAGTCTCAAAGTGGGTTCCTCGTCATCGAATTTACATTCAGTAAATGGTTACAGCTGTAGACCACATTGCTCTGTAATGATTCTTACTTATATAGAAATTTCACACACAACTTTTTATACTTGTGTACTGGGAAAGAATTGGACATATTTTAGTAAACCCCTTTCTTTTTTTTTCTTTACTTTTTGTGAGGGAGGGGAGGGGAAGTTGGGAGAGTTTTTTTTATATGCACAATTCTGTAATATATTCATGTATATACATGCTGATACCTAACCTGGTATTGAATTTAGGCTTGAAAACAGTTTGCATATGTTACTACCACTGTTTTTTGTGTACCCAGAACTGATAGATAATACAATATTACCATGTTAATAGTGGAACTGAAATTATCTAATATAGTTAGTAATAGAAGTGTAAAAAAAGTACTAAAATATGTTGTTCAAGTAAAAGTATCCATCCTGAAATTTACTTAAGAGTAAAAAAATTTCTACTGAATAAGTACTTAAGTAACAAAAGTAAAAAATACACTCATCTGCAGTTCTCTTAAACCCTACATGTATGTTGGGGGCCATGAGGTCAAGAAACAAAACACAGCATACATTATAGGGACACAGAGTTATTCACAATATGTTTAAACTTGAACACTTTATGAAGATATAGCCAAGGATTGCCATCATTGTCAAAAGAAATGACGTCAGAGTCAGGCATCCTGCACATGCACACACGAGTTACCGTGGGAAAAGAGTGATGCTTGCAACTTGGCCAACTGCTAAGGGGATAACAAACCCGTTGATGTAAGCAATGCACGCAATTGGCTGACTTAAGTTCCCGTGCATGCATTGCGTCTTGACTGCCTGACACAAATTTGAGTTTTGCGAATAGTAATGAAATGGATAAAATGAAAAGTAGTGGAGTAAAAACATGAGAAATTCTCCTAAAAGTTACTTAAGTTAGAGTAAAAATATTTTAAAATATAAATACTTTTTAAAAAGTAGATACTCAAGTAAAGTTACTTCATTGCATTTACACCCCTGGTTAGTAACAGACACACGTCAAAAGTAAGAGGATAATTTTATTAAGGAATGTGTGGGATTCAAGATGGCAAGTCATCCATTTGAACAAACTTAACTGATTTAGCTGATAGCAGATCTAACTTGCATCCCAAAGTATTGTGGGAAGAACCATGTTCTTCACTTCTTCATCACACACAGTCCTTGTATATCTAGATAATGAACTGACCTACTTGAACAATG